GCCCCCTGTGGTCGGGTCACCTGCTGACTGCTCTCTGGCTCCCTGTGTATAGTGGCTATTTCTGAAGTGCCTGGACTCGTTTTCTTTGTTTGGACCATCTTACGGATCATTTAGTTTATTCAGTTAGTAAATTTCATCCATAAATTGAGGGAAGTTTTAGCAACAGTGTGTGAAAACAGTGACATCGTGCTGCCTTTCCCTTTCCTTCTTGAACTTAGGCATTTCTGAGAAACTTTCCATTCTCCCTCACATGTTCATTTGTCATGAAGAAGTTGTCTACCATCAGCTTCAGTGACTCCCCTTTGCTGTATTAACTCTGGTGTTGAGCCCACCAGGAAATTTTTATATGTTGATACTTTAATTTCTAATCTCCCATATTCATTTGGTTGTTTTTCTGGGTTCCTTTTGTCTTCCAGTAGCTCCCTTTAGCACATTTATGTTTTTAGATGTTTTCTTAGTTTCCTTTGTAATCACATTTGTGGTGTTTTTTTTCATCTGGTTCCTGCATTTCACAGATCCCTTGTTTAGTTAGTGATTGCTTTTCTTTTGTTTTGTCGTTTTTTTCTTTTTTTGCAGTAGGAATAACATTTTTCTTTTCCATTCATGTTCAGAATTCTGAATTATACCTTCCTTCGTCATTGTAAATCACATCTTGTAGAGATTGTAGATCCTGCTAAATGTTTCTGAAGAGTGAATATGTTTACAATCCTTGGTGGGGGCTCCCTAGTGGTGCAGGGGTTCACATCTCAGCACTCTATCACCAACCACTGAGGCATGTGTTGTATTCCCAGCCAGGGAGCGATCCACGGGGTGCAGCAAAACTCTCCCGTCTCCCCTGGCGCCCCCAGGAATGGATTTCAGTGGCTCCACCTGTTCCGCCCCCACTAGGTTTGCTGAATCCAGTTAACCCACACACTCTGGCCTAGACCCCAGTTCTTGTATGCGTAAACTAGTAAAATAAATCTTAAAATAGAAATCTACTCTGGAATACGCTTAGTGGACACTCCCAGGATTCATCATGCATTGGTTCCCCTTCTCTCCCTTGAGAACTTTGTGGACTGTGTGTTACTGCAGAGCGAGATGCCCGTCAGTGGGAAACAGTGAGAACCGGGAAAGCCCACTGAGCCGTGACGGGCCGCTTTGACTCTGGCTGCAGCCTGTGCACCTGGTCGGGCGCCTCCGTCCTGACCTTCACGGGCAGGCTCTTAGGACTAAGTGAGCTGTTCACTTCTGCTGATAGCCAGTCCTGCCAGCGAGAATGCGTGTGACACTAGGGCAGCGGTGTGACCTGATGGTCAGGTGAACAGACACCATCGACAGCACTCAGGCTACATCAAGGACGGGGAGTTCTCTATCTCTACCTCCAGGAGCCAGGCAAAGGTAAAATTTTTCTGTGGACAGAGCTAGGTGTTAGTTCTGCAAAGCACTGGACCTGTGGGTTGAAATACTAGCAGATTTGGAACATCCTTTGGTGTTTTTGTATTTTCAGCTATCTGTTGTATCCCCATCCTGCCCCGACCCAGTTCTGTGTATGTTCTGTCACCTGATGATGTTGCAAACATCACTGGATCCCCAAGACATTCTTTGTCATCTTGTTTTCATGAAACCTCTTTCCCTAAGGGATCTTTGTCTGCTCTGCAGGAAGATCTCATTGTTTTTAGGGGTTTTTATAGTTGGATTTCAGCTCTTCTTGTGATTTTCAGAATTTGTCAAGTGTTGTGAAAGGAAAGGCGAGCCCCGGGGGCACAGGGACCCCTCAGGTTGTCAGTGTTGTCCCTGTGGCTGGTGTGATTACCTGAGGTGCTGCTGGCTTGTTGGTCGCCAGACCCTTTTGCAAGGAAAGTTTCAAAGCAGAGCCCTTCTGGAGAGGTATTGTGGCAGGTGGACGGCAGTGTATAATTCACTGTAATGCGTGGAATCATTGGAAATAGTAAGAATAGGTCTGATGTGGGTAACATTGAAGACAGAGCTGGTAGCACAGAGGTCTTTGGCCACTGTCTCCCCAAAACAGGTCTTTTAAAAATTGGCACTTTTTCAGTAGATGACTGGATTAAAAATTTGTGGTGCATATACACAATTGACTATTACTTAGTAATCAAAAAAGATAAACTCATCCCTTTTGCAGCAATGGGGATGGAGCTGGGAGGAATAATGCTTAGTGAAATAAGCCAGAAAGAAAATGAAAAATGCCAGATAGTTTCACTCATAGCAGCAGCATAAAGGGCCAGGCGGGTTAAAAAAAAATGAACATCTATACACCAGAGACATTTTAAAGTGGTGGAGTGGGGGGTGGGATCAAAAGTGGGGGGTGCATTAGACTATGGTGATAGCACACGGGTGATTTGGTGATGGGAAGCCCACAGGGATTATAGCTGAGATGGAAAGTGCCACAAAATGATATAAAAATAAACTTTTATTATAATAAAAAAATTGACGCTTTTTCAAATCTCGTTTGAAAATACTATTGCAGTGTACAAGGGGTTGACGCGCAGTACTGTGCAGCTGTTGGCAGCCAGTTTAGCACGAGTTTCATGCCCAGCCAGGGAGTGACCCACAGGGCAATCTCCTCACTACACCCTCAACAGTGTGTCTCAGGCATTCTTCCTCTTCCTGTCCTCGCTCTGTGTCTGGTGAATATCCTCATACCCTGCTCCTCTGGACTGCACCTTAGTTCTTCTGTACATAAATAAATCTTGAAAAAACAAAGTGCTATGTACGGGGCATATGTGTCCTTACACAAACACACCTGTACTTTGTACACATGTGTATATGCATCATGTTTGTGATACCGCTTGTATTTTTAGGTGGTTCTTTTAGGAGTTAGATAAGGTGGGGTCCTGGGCCCTCCCTGGTGGTGCAGCAGGTTAAACACAGCACTGAGAAGCTAAAGCCACTTTCAGCATGAATTGGGTCCCCACCCCAGAGGTGTGACCCACATGGCTCTGCAGAGCTCTCCTGACCCGCCCGCTGCTCCCCTCAGCAGAGTACTTCATGGATCTGCCTGTTCTACTCCCCACTCAGTCTCTAGTGAATCCTCTCACTGCCCCTGTACCTCTGGCCTGTACCAAAGTTCTGTATGCATAAATAAATAAGGTCTTAAAGATAACATGGGGTCCTTCATCAGTACAACTTGTGACCTGTAATAGGATATGGCTGTTTCACCACATGCATGTCCCTACCACATGTACTCAGCTGGATTGCTGATGTGTGCAGGCCAGGAACAGAGCTGTTGTCACTGGATGGACCACTCCATGACTTCCAGTGTCCCTCATGGTGACAGAAGGGTTTCAGGTCGTCACAGAATCCACAGGGTCTGAGCTCCTGATGCTGGTAGGAACGGTGAGTTTTATGGACAGACTTAGGCTTTCTCCCTTCTTTCTGTTCTTCCTTGTCTTATTTCTCATATTGACATGTGAATCACTTAGCCTGGGAATAGAGTGCAGGATTGTTTTTAGAGAACTGTGCTGTTGGCCAGGTCACCCTGCAGAGTTGCTGTCAGTGCAGCGCAGCCTCTCACCCTGGTGCTGCTGAGTCTTTGCTTCTGCTTCATTCCTTCAGGGTTTTCCTCTTTTTCTGCTCACAATTGTCCTCAATTCTGTTACATGTGGAGCTGGGATCTTTGCCCTTTATGGAAAGTACAGTAGAAACTGAGTTTGAGGACTTATATGTGTATTATTTTATAGTAGGTGTGTTTAAACTTGCTGCAGTCTGACACAGGCCTTCGGCCATGGAGTAAGGAGAAATGTTCCCTTACAGGGGATGGTGACATTTAAGGACGTGGCTATGAACTTCACCTGGGAGGAGTGGCGGTACCTGAGTGAGGCTCAGAGGACCCTGTACTGGGAGGTGATGCTGGAGACCTGCAGCCACCTGGTGTCAGTGGGTGAGAAGACTCCCATGTCACACTCCATGCAGGCGCTGTTTTCTATGCTGTGTGCACTGGCATATGAAATTGGGTGCTGGGGAGGTTGAACATGGCAGGCCAAGCAGACAGTGGGTGTCTGCGCCTTTTATGAAAGATTAAAAAAGAAAGCTTAAAGTTAGCCTCTGTTGCACTGCTCTTGTTACTTTTCCCAGACTAAAGTTTGAGTAACTTGATCCACGAACAACACTGTTTCTCATCACAGGGCATTGTGTTAAGGATCCTGAAGTGATCATCAGCTTGGAGCCAGGAGCCCAGCCAGGGACTGTGGAAGAACCCCCAAGCCAGGACCTCACAGGTCAGTCACTGCTCCCTGGTCTCGAGTGTGGTCCATGCTATTGACCACTCTGAGCCACTTTTCCAGTGTCCAAACCTTTGATTGACTGTGCATCTATCAAAGTGATTCATTTTTGAGTTCCTTAATATTCCTCTTCTAGTTATCCTCCTGCTCTTTTAATGGCTGTCATTCTTCTCACACTGAACAATTATTCAGTCCCCGACAGTACAGGAAATTAATCTGCACTAGCCACATTTTCTTTATTAATTGCTTTTCATAGACTGTATTCTTTCAGGTACTTATTCAGGCATTTTTTAATCTATCAGTCTATGGAAAGTTTAAGCCAATGGTAGTTTTTCTTTGAGCGGGCATGACAGCAGTAATCACAGCAACAGCCTTAGCTTTATTGAAGTTACATTCTATGAGAAAGGATAATATAAGAAATACATATGTTGAATAGAGATAAAGCCACAGGGAATGTTTAACCAGGATGAGAGAAAACCATGGAGGATATTATTGTGGAGTGCGTGCTCAGAAGGCTTTGTTGTGAAGATGAAGTCTTTTCTTTGTAGATCTTCAGTGATGTGTGGTTTGCATTTGTGCAGTCTACGACAGAGTTTGTATTGCTATTGGAGATGTCATTTACTAGGCGACTAACTGAAAACTAATAGAGGGGAGGGGGTTGACTCTAGAGTTATTTTGAACGTGAATAGGGTTTCATAGGTAAATCTTTTGACCCGCCTACACATGAACTTGAGAGGCTGGGGAGGACCCAAGAGACTGTCAAGCATGGGAAGGGATGTTCTGTGACATGGGATTGGAAATATGAGGTTATGATTTTTGACAATTCCTGGAGCCAAGAGTGTCAAGTTGGATGCTCCTGCATTGGAGAGGAGTTTGAATTGTGAAATTACATCTTTTCATCATCATCATTGAGAAGAAAGGAACAGAATAGAAATATAATATAGCTAAAAGTAACATAAAAACTTGAGCTGCTGTGAATTTAGTAGAAACACCAGTACCAGTTTGTGCAGTGAGCTACCAGGTGTTGATTTCAGAAGGATGTTAAACAAAGCCTTTAACGAGGATGGCCACAGCTGGATGACAGAGCTTTTTTCTTTTTGACCAGCAGGAGAAAGTTGGGCAGCATGAGGAGACAGTGAGCCGCATGTGTTGTGTTTCTGAGCGGCATCGATAGGATATTTCATTCAGCATTGAGAGAAAGGTCTCAGTTCTGCCATGAAGGGAAGTCTGTCCCTTTGAAATCATCTGCAGATGACTAGCTAGAGCCAAAGGAGAAATAACATGGAGAATCGTTGTTGCTAAGCAGTTTGGTTTCTTAAGGTGACTAGAGAATGATGCTGTGTCACTTTCAGTCAGTAGTTTTTTTCAGGAAAACCATGAGATGTTCAGAGCTTGATTACTCAGAAAGTGGCCGCAAAAGTTACACAGGGTTATCCTAAGAAAGTATGTTATGTTAAATGTTCTTGGTTGAAGTCGACATCTAATTTAAATAAGTATATTCACCAAAATTTGTCTACTTGCCTTGTCTACTATCCTGTTACCTTGGTTTGGAGTAGGCAAATCTGTTCATTGGAACCTCCCTGGAGACTGAGGTATTAGCACTAGGTGCTCTCATCGGTATGGCCTGGATTTAATTCACACCAGGGTCTCACCCAAATTGGCACAGAATCCCAAATCGTCATTGAAGACCTCTTCTGTCTAACCTGCTGCTCTCCTCAGTGGTGTATTTCCATCAATCAGCCTGGTATTTTCTCCATGCTGTCTGCTCTCTCACATATACAAATACACATACCACGTGTGTATATCTGGCCTACACCCCAGATTATTACACCAATGTAATAATGAAAAAGTATTGTTTTTCCATAATTTGTTAGGGATAAAAGCATGAATTAGAAAATCAATTCCTGGGGTCCTCCGTGGTGTTACAAGGGGTTAAAGCTCAGCACGACGAAGCTATTGGCAGCCTTTTTAGCACCACGAGTTTGAACTCTGACCAGGGAGGTGACCTACATGCTGCAACAGACCTCCTGCCCACTGCACCAGTGTATTTCAGTTCATCTGCCCTTTCTGCTCCCCACTCTTGTGAATCCTCTTAACCCTCATACTGCTGGCTTCCTGTGTCCCAGTTCTTGTGTATATAAAGAAATCTTTCTTAAAAATTAGAATATCAATACCTGTCAAATTGTATTGTAATATAGAAACTGTTATGTCTTTTAGTACCCTTCACTTGAAATGTGTAGAGTTATTTATAAAAATGGCCACTTTTTCTCTTTTTAGATGTCCATACTGTGGATTACCTCACTAAGGCCAGTCTTGCAATCCATGCCAGACATTTATGGCAAGTTCTTATTGCCAGCAGCAAAATACCCAACAACGAGAGAACAGATGACATAGGGGAAAATAGTAACTTGGACTCAGTTCGTAGTTTGAGCCAGAGTATCAAAAACAGAATCATTTCAGCAATGATGCCTGATGTCTCTGCTGTATATAGAAACATGTTTCCCCCTGGTGAGCCTCATGAAGAGCATGCTGGAAAGGCAGAAGAGGTTTTTAATAGAATAAGGGAATCCATCAGGTATCCTAAACATGTCAGCCCTCAGGTGATTCAAAATTTTCAACAGCCTTTTGAAATTTGTGAGCAAGGGAAAGGCTTGAGCAAGGAAACAGTATTTCCACAGAGAGGAGCGCTTACAGATGGGACTGCCTGTAAACACAAGGAGTGTTGGGACACCTGTGGCGGGCCTCCTTTCGTCATCCAAGGTAGAACCCAAGGAGGACAGACTCCCTATGCTTGTGATGAAAGAGGGGAACCTGTTAATGTGAAACCAGGACATTTGAATCGTCATAGATATGTTGAAGGTGAGCAGCAGACATGTTATAAAAGTGGGCCCCCTCTCAGCTGCACATTTCACACCCATCAGTATGAGAGTGCTCAGTTAGGACAGACTTCTCAGGAATATAATAGACATGGTGACATGTGCTCTACAAGCTCTATTCTTCCTGAACATTGGGAAATACAAGCAGTTGATGAACCTAATGAATGTGCAGAAACCCCTGAGGTTTCCTTCCCGAGTCAGTATCAGAGAGCTTGCACTACAGAAAAATTGTTTGGCTCTAAACACTGTGTGAAAACTTACTCAGGGAAGACTGCCATCACTGTACATCCGCAATCTCAAACAGGAGTGAAACATAAATGTAAACAAATTAAGAAAACTTTCTCAGAGCAGTCAACTGTTAGTGTTCCTCAGAGAACGGATCCAAGAGAGAAGCAGTATAAGTGGACAGTATATAGGAAAAGTTCCTCCTGTAAACCAGCCCTCAGTAAACATCAGAGGATTCACACAGGGGAGAAACCAGATAGTCATCGAGATTGTCGAAAGTCTTTCTACCACAAGACAAACTTTGATAACCATCTAAATACCCGTGCAGGAAAGAAAGCCTATGAATATCAAATGTATAGAAAAACTTCATGCAGAAAATCTGCCCTCACTTACCACCACCAAAAACATATTACAGATAAACCATATGAATATCAAGGCTGTACAAAAATGTATTCTTCAAAATCACCCATTACTGTACATCAGAGAAATCACACTGGAGGGGAAAGTCACACTGGAGAGAAGCCCTGTAAATGCCAAGAGTGTAGGAAGACTTTCCACAGTAGGTCAAACCTACTTAATCATAAGAGGACTCCTAGAGGAGTGAAGCCCTATGAATGTCAAGAGTGTGGGAAAACTTTTTCCTTTAAGTCAAACCTCAGTAGACATCAGAGATCTCATACTGGAGAGAAGCCCTATG